CCAATTAAAATTTCTTAATAAAAACCAATTAGATTTCTAATAATCATTGTTCTTTGTCAAATACTATCATCATGTGAAAGAAATATCATTATTATAGATAAATGTTAAGCTCCTCATGATAATGACACTATGCTCATCTTCCTGATCTTTTGCATAAACATGTCAACAAATAGCTAAATAATATATAACATGTCACAACGATGATAGTATTCATTTATTCCATGATAATACAAATGTTCAATCGATATTTATCGCAGTTTTCATCTATCAATCATATGGAATAGAATCTTTTAATTTATTTTTTGGTGACAAAAGCAATCAGCATTCTGAAAAAGAATACGTCATGATTTTTTATTTACTAATATAATTAAACATATTTGTATTTTATATAAAATGACACAATCCAAAATTAAATTATTAGAGGAATTGAATTTCAAGCTTCAGGTGGAGAATACAGAACTTAGAAACCAGAATGCTAAAGTTAAGCGTGAGAATACAGAATTAAGAAAATTTTTAGAAAGTCATGAAGTCAGAATCATGAAGCTAAAGCAAGGAGAAAAAAGTATTACTAATATTTCACAATCTCTGGTTAACAGTGTTCATGAACAGATTATTATACAAAATAAAAATGCTCTGGTATCTGATAATGTTTCAAATTCTGATAAGTCTAATAATATCTTGATATCTGATATATCTGATAGAGACAAAGTCCCATTGCTTCACAATAATGCTTTAAATTCTGATGTATGTCAGGAAGAGACAAAGTCTAAAGTTTTCAATATATCTTTAACTCGATGCTCTACATTTCCTATTTTTACAGAAATCATATCATTGAAAGAAAAAGAAGAAAATGAATTTCTGAATTTGCAGTATAAGGAACAGGTTAGTAAAGAAATAATGGAGAGAATTAGAAAAATGAAACTTCAGGATCAAAACTTATTTTTGAACAATACTTTATCAGAATCATCTTACAAAATCATCCAATCAGAATTAAGCTCTATTGATCAAGTACAAGGTACCATTACTTTTGAGAGCAGAGCTCATGTCTGTAAAAACACTCTTAAGAGCCGTTCCACAATAATAAGAATTCCATACAATCAGAAAGTAGAACAGGATTTAATAGGTGAGTTATTTAGTTGTAGTAAGAAGAAAATTGTTATACAAGACTTGAATATACAAATTGCTAATCTTCTTCTAGAAACAATATTAATAGAATTTGATGAAGTTACTGTTGAAATTATAGTAAACTTGTTTAATACAGCAATGAAAATAAAAGAAAAATTTATATTGGTATTGTTATACTAAAGTATATAAAAATTGAGTCATATATATTAAATTCACGAATAATATTGATGACCAATCAGCTAGAACACTGGTATATAATGAAATTAGATTGCTTCTTTCCAGTATCTCTGATATAAATTTACATAAGAGAACTTTTAGAGCTAAAAAAGTTTATATATTATTTGAAGGAACAGGAATAGATATGATTAAACAAATAACTTATAGTGCAAATACTATTTCAAATCTAACAGATATTCAGATTCAAAATATTATAAATCATTTTTATGAAAAGATCACTAGCATAAATGATATAATTAATTATCAAGAAGTGATTAGTATTCTGAAAAAGAATGCACATATGTCAGATTTACTTAGCTTAAATAATTCATCAGTTCTGCTAGCACAGCCAAAATTACCAGAAATTAAGTAAATAATACAAAAGTCAATGTAAATATATTAATAATATTTTAAGTAAACTTGTAAATTATAACTAGAACTACAAATTAATATAAAATAGTTAATATTTAAAATAAATATTCAAAAAGTTATATAAATTTAAAAATATTTTTAATTATTTATAATTTTAATTCACTTTATTTATATTATAATAAATATTTAATAATAAATATTGTTACTGTTTTTATTGATATTAAGTTCTTGATATATTAATCACGTGTTTTATTAAGATAAAAGCGAAAAAGATTAAGTTTTTATAATGGGAGAGACTAAGATTTATTACTAAAGGTAGGTAATACATGTTCTTGTTGTGACGAGCTAGAATGATGTCCAATAACTTTACTAGGTTTTGTATTTTATTTAGAATTTCAAAGGTGATGATACAAGTAATAAGTTTTATCAAATGACTGTCTTTCAAGTTAATAATAATGATTTATTATAAGTGATCTATCTTTCAAGATCAAAAACCAATACAAATATAACTTTACAAGTTATCCAAAAGTTTCTATCAAACAAGAAAATTTTTCAAGTTATTAACTTAATTAACTAACTGTCTTTTTAACTTGATTCACTTTCTAAACTAAGATACATGATATATTTATATAAATTACATGTTATATGATATAACTGGTTCTATTGTTATTGTCGTTAAGTTAATTAAATACAAGTATTATCAGCATTTCTGATGTTAACACGAGTGTTAATGTCGTTGTTATCATTGCTGTTGTTGCTGTTGTTGCTGGTGTTAACACAAACTTAAGAATCAATAATATCTGACATATAATTATCCAATAAAATAATAATTATCTAAAAATAACTATCCAATAGAAATACTAATAAATATAATCCAATAACAATTAATATATTTTTTATTCAATAAGATTGTTCGTCAAATGTCATATCATGACAGAACCCGTGTTGTCAGTGTTTTGCTCCATAAAATAATCAATTAATCAATTAATTCTGGTTCTAAGTCTATTATTATTGTTATAACAATTTTCACATACCCTTGTAATTTCTTGTATCATATCTATCCTTTTTCGTATTATGTTTAACATTTTCTTGCATAACATGTAGAATTTAACACAGATCTACATTAATACTTTTTAATGTTTTGCTAATTAGATTAGATGTGAAATGTAAATCATATTATTAATTTGGATACATATTGTTTTTAATTACTTTTATTTTTATTCGTTCTTTTTTATTATTTTTAATTCATATTAATTATCTTTTATTATTATTTATATTTCATACATATTCATTAAGTATAGCATAATTTGGAGACACGTCACCTTTAAGATTAATAATTTAGAACCAATTAATTTCTATTTTATTATTAAATTATT